AGCCACAGCCGGCCCTCCTGCAAAAGTTCTTTAATGACACTTTCAGTAAAAACCACACCCCAGGCAACCATGGATGTTTTTTGCTGCTATCGATTAGGTCTGCCTTTTCTAGAAATTAATAGATGGTAACATTTATTAAGCATACTACGTGTCAGGCACTTTGGATTACCTCACCTTATTCTCAAAATTCTAAGAGGAAACAGGTTAATGGGGGTCTAATATGCTCAAGGTAACAGCAAGTGTATGTCAGAATTAGATGTTAACTCCAGTCTTTTTTTTTTTTTTTTTTAAAAAGATGACCGGTAAGGGGATCTCAACCCTTGGCTTGGTGTTGTCAACACCACGCTCAGCCAGTGAGCAAACCGGCCATCCCTATATAGGATCCGAACCCGTGGCCTTGGTGTTATCAGCACCGCACTCTACCGAGTGAGCCACGGGCCGGCCCTAACTCTAGTCTACTTCTCTATAGAATCGAGTCCTACTTGGTCTACAGGATTGAAATCACAAATATTCCTCCAACTCGAAGAAATTATTTTTTAAGAATTCAACAGAACTTAAGTTTAATAGTGTTAAGCCATAGCTCATTAACAATTTGATCTGGATAAACAGTGAATTCAATTACATACTCAGATATATAAAACCATTTATAAGAAGTCTGATTTAGACTATTACCTATCATCCTCCACACTTAACTTCTAAGATTAGAAAAGGGGTCTAGCATACATTACCATATATTATTAATTACAACCTGCTAAAGCCAACAGTCCTTTCCTTTTAACAGATGTGTTAAAAAAATCAATGCTTATATTATCAAACTTTGGATGGGAACTGTTCCCTCCTTTTCTGTTTAATGGTTTGTAAATGGAAAATGTATTTCAAGTAACACTTTTTTTCTTTCAACAAAGCTCAGCACAGGCAAAACATTTATCAAAGTGAGTCACCAAACTCCAAGTGTCACAAACACAGGGTACTGACAGTTGGCCTTCTACCTCTGAAAGATCTTAACACGTGAAAAGTAGAAAGATATTTAGGAGTTATTCTATATTAAACACACTCACATTTATCCGTAAACGAAAAGAAAATTATTTCTCTCTCCCTCTGACTAAATTAAAAAAATTGATGTAGATGGTTTTCTTAAACAGAAAATAGCCAAATTATCAATATAACTTTATGTGCAAGGGTTAAAATATCTGTTTGTTTTCTTACCAATGAATATGTGACAGTGAATAAAGATATGAATGGGATTAGACTGAAACAGAAATTATTTTTCCAAGTCTGGAGGTGGCTCAACACATGGTTTTGAGTGTCAACATAATGATATTTCAAGAAAATGCACTTTCTAAATAGTGCTGAAAGTATTAAATTAGCTTAATTCCTAATTAAGGAAGAATGTTTTTTGTTTTTTTCAAAATAACTTCTTAAAAATGGAAATGAACAAGCAAAGAGAAGTTAGGCAATTTGTTTAAAGTTTCAACAGGAGACTCGAGCGGAGACAGTCGATTACATCCTTTAGAGTGTGCAGTGTTCCTTTTACTTGCCAAAGAGGAGGGCACTTGTAAAGACATCACAGCTTCAACAAAAAGATATGAAATGATTAATGATGTTGCTGATTAGGTGGAGAGTGAGAAAGACTGCTGGAATTGCCAGTGGAAATCAGTGGGGAATTTAAAAAAAAAAAAAGCCTATCTAATTCATCTCCTAAAGGCCTACCTTTGGCTGTTTCATTAGTATAACATCCACTACAAAAGACCTATGGCATGTGAAGATTTGCAGTTTTATTAATCTGAAGCAACCTCCATGGTCCATAACAAAATGATATGATACTTTATTAAGGCAGGAATTAGAGTCCCAAGGATGAAGTCTGGGAGCAAGTCATTTAACCAGTGAGTGAACCCAGACAACCACTGAGCACTTTGTTTTTCTTATTTAACCTTAAGAATAATCCTGTGTGGTTTTGCCATCCCTATTTAATAGAGGACAGAAAAAAGAAAATTATATTCTATGGTGGCAGTAATGAAGAAGTTAGAATGTATTCTGTAAAAAATGACAAGAGCCTACTGCACTATACATTTTCAGCACAATAAAATACTACTCAAGTCGAAATATAAGATACTTCCCAAACTGTCTCAATTTCTCCCTCTAGTGAATAACATCTTGCATTTGCATGTATCACATTCTTCTTGATAGTACTTTCTATCTCTCTAGGTGAAGTGATGATTTGCCTACTATTTTAAAAAAGAGATATATAAAGGTACACACATAAATACAAATTTTCGTTATTAGGCAAAAAGTAAGCATCTTCTGAAGAGGCTTGGATCATTGTGGGCACTGTTGCATGTATTATTAACTCTTCCTATTAATTTCTAGTAAATGACACACATCATTACTGTCCTTTTACCCATATCATAATAATATTGGGCCGGCCCGTGGATCACTTGGGAGAGTGTGGTGCTGATAACACCAAGGCCACGGGTTCGGATTCCTATATAAGGATGGCCGGTTGGCTCACTTGGGAGAGTGTGGTGCTGACAGCACCAAGTTGAGGGTTAAGATCCCTTTACCGGTCATCTTTGAAAAAAAAAAAGAATAATACAAGCAGTTTGATCTAATGGAAGGCATGAAGGATTGAGAAAGAGGTATTTCAACTTTCTATGTTTTAGACTCTTTCCTCACTAATCAAATATTCTAATGATGAGCAGCCCAAATAAACTTGCCAGAGCTGCTGTGTGGCCCAAATGACATAACAAATAAAAGTTCATCTAAAAGTACAAATTTTTAAGTTAATGAAAGGCATTGTAAACTTAATAGAAGCAACATGTACTTAGTACTTACTATAAGTAATATACCAGAATTTCAATGGCTTTTCAAAAAGATGCATTAGGGAGCAACTGAAAATAAAAGCAATTGAATAGATACAGAATCTGGGGAAGCACAGGGAAAAGAGTGGCTTGGTATAAATGGTACAGTACAAATATTGAGAAGACACAATCAGATTTTAAGAGATGGACGAGCCAACCTTAGAAAAATTTCCCTTGTTTAACCTGCCTCTTCCCTACCAACAGCAACCTCATCTTCCAACTTGCTTCTTCCCAAATTACATGTATAATTTAGGAGAAGAAAACAAAAAAACTAGGCAAATTGCAATCATAATTGCAATATAATTGAGAGATATAAAAATTAGGGTTTACAGAACTACCTTGAGTAGGGTGGTCAGTCAGGGATGGCCACTGAGGCAGATTTTAGGCAGAGACCTGAGGGAAGTTGAGCCAGTTCTGTTCACATGGGTATGGGTGTGTGTGTGTGTGTGTGTGTGTGTGTAAGAAGGGCATTCCTGTGTATGTAAGTGGAGAAGGACAAGAAGGGTGTGTGTGTGTGTGTGTGTGTGTGTGTAAGAAGGGAATTCCTGTGTATGTAAGTGGAGAGGGACAATAAGGGCGTGTGTGTGTGTGTGTGTGTGTGTGTAAGAAGGGCATTCCTGTGTATGTAAGTGGAGAGGGACAAGAAGGGCGTGTGTGTGCGTGTGTGTGTAAGAAGGGCATTCCTGTGTATGTAAGTGGAGAGGGATAAGAAGGGCATTTCAGGCATACAGACCAGAAAGCGCACCTTGGAGGGGAAAGTGCATGTAGAAGGGTTAGAAAGGAGGCCAGTGTATCTGGAGCTTAACGGGCAAGTGACTTATAGGTCGCTGTAAACGTAGGTAAGGACCACATCATACAGGGCCTTGTAGGTCATGGCAGAGAGTCCAGACTTTACCTAAATGCAATGGTAAGCTATAGGATTACTTCAGACAGGTGAATTACACGATCTCTTCTTATTAAAATATCACGCTGGTAAAAGGAGACATGCGAGAAGGGTTTTTAACGCAGAGAACCGTAAGTCAGATGCAATATTTATGCCTCAGGTTTTCCATATATAAAGCAAGTGGTTTGAGCTAGAAGTCATTTCCTTCCCGCTGCTATGTGCCTAGGCGGTAAGTTCCGAGAGCACGGGACACGTCAGACTGGCCACGGAATTCCCCTCATCCACGCCGGCGCCCACCACACAACTGGCGCCCTGAAACTGCTGGTCAGCGCAATGAATCAATGAATGGCCTGCCAGGGCCGCGAGGGAGGCGCTACCGGCGCGGGACCAGGCCCCGGCTCAAGAAAAAGAACGCGATGTGGCGCGCGGGAGGCCGCGAGAGGCGTCCGGCAAGGAAAGTGGGGGCCGGCTCCACCACAGCCAAGGCGCGGCAAGGACCCGGGCGGAAGGAGCAGGACTTGGACCAGTCACAGGGAGCTAGGAGAGCAGGCCGAAACGCTGGCCGAGGAGGGATTCCGGGTCCGTGTCGGGTGGCCCAGTCACTCACCGCAGCCGTCGCCAGGCTGTGCATGTTGGGAGCGGCCGCCGCTCTCCTTCCTCCGCCGGACGCACCAGACTCGCGTCTCCGTTTCAGCGCCTCTGCCGCCGAAGACGATGAGCCTCCGAAGCCGCCATCCGCCTCCGGCTCGCTCCGCCCCCTTCGCAGCACTCTGACCTCTCACCCCGACCCCGCCCACACAACCTCTTCCCGTCTCCTGGCCCTCGTCCTGGTTAACACTCCCGGAGTATGTCTTTTGTCCCTTAAGATTCAGGACCGAAAGGACTTCCGGGATCTACTAGTCCCTATCTCTCCGACATCTAACAGGTACACCCAGAGAGGGGCGTGAACTTTGACCCTCCTCCGGAGACCAGTGAAGGGCGGGAAAAGCTGGGCAGTCCCGGGAGGACAAGTATCGCGCATGCCCGACTGGGATGAGTAGGAGGGAAACCGTGGGAGGTCGAAATTGGGTGAAGAGGAAAGTGCGCATGCGTACTATAGTCACGGCAGGGGCGTGGCTGCCTGGGTTAGGCCTCGCTTGGTGCTGGGCGGGGCGAGGGCGTAGAGGGGGTGGAGTTAGCGTATTGCGCGCACGCGCCTGGGCTGGTCGCGTCGAGTGTGCGTGCGTGCGTGTTTGCGTGTGGTTGCAGTTCCCGCCATCAGCCGCTCTCCCTGACTTGGGGGAGTGAGCGGCCTCTGTCCCTTGAGCTCGGTGTCCCTTCCTTCTTTACACCCAGCTTCTCGCCCTCCGCGCGGACTCTGCTTCCGGCAGGCCTGTCCGGGGACTCCAGGCAATCAGGCACAGGTAAGGCGGGCCCAGGTAGCTTCTCAATTGAGCCGTTTCATCTAGCCACACTCCCTCCTGTGCGGTCCGCCCACTCGGCGTTCACTCCTCGGGAGTTCGCCCCGCTGCTGCTCAGCAGGTCCCCAGCCCTTCGACGCTCCCCCAGCCTCATAGGTACTCCACTTGAGTTCAGCCCCCCAACCCCCGGCTTTCCCTCTCCTTTAACTTGGTGTTTACTGTTACTTGCTCCCTCCGCAGCCCGAACCTGGCCCCTTTTCTCTGGGGCTGTCGTCGTCCGCCGCTTGCTCCTTAACAAGGCCTGCTGTCTCTTCAGGTGACTTCCGTTGACTTACATTCATCAGGCCTTGGACGTGACAGTCATTCTCTTGACCATTCTTCACTTTCTTCTTCCTTCTAACCCTCAGTAAAAGGCATGAATTGTATTCTTGTTGTGCATTTGGTTGCTCCCCATCTCTAGCCATCAGATCAGGTTGTCAGGTTAACTTATTTTAATCATGATCCATGAAAGGAAATAATTGATGGTAAGGTTCTCTGTTCCGGAGAGGTGGTGTTTTGGTAAACCTCTCAAAATTTTAGCTCTGTGTAAATGCCTTTTTTGGGGTGGCTAACTGGAAGAGATACCGAAGAGTCAGTCGAGTAGACAGTTGGATATACTAGGTTGGAGAACAGAGGAATTAAAAGACAATACGAATCTTTCCGTGAAGTTTTTGAAGTACCCTCGTAGTTATAGGTATGTATATCATCAGCCATGTTGATAGTAGTTGGAGCTATGAATGTGGATGAAATCGTCTAAAGAGAGTATAGTGCTAGAAAAGAAGGCGACCTATGATGGAGCATTGAGAGATACTTGTTTAATAACTGGATAGTGGAGGTTGAGCCTTGCAAGAGATGAAAGAAGTCATCAAGTGTTTCATTCTGCTAAAAGGTAAAATTGAAAGAGGACTGAAAGGAGCCGGCCTGTGGCTCACTCGGGAGAGTGCGGTGCTGATAACACCAAGGCCCCGGGTTCGGATCCCATATAGGGATGGCCGGTTCGCTCACTGGCTGAGCGTGGTGCTGACAACACCAAGTCAAGGGTTAAGATCCCCTTACCGGTCATCTTTAAAAAAAAAAAAAAAAAAAAAAAACAGAAAGAGGACTGAAAGACCCAGTGACATAAAAGTAATCAGTTGTGTTAGAGATGTTTGATGAACTGAAATGAATATTTGTGTTCAGTCCTAGGTTCTCTTCTTTTACTCTTCTATTCCTCCCGAAGTTTTTTTTTTTTTTTTGTCCTTTTTGAGACCAGCGCACCAGTCATCCCTATATAGGATCCGAACCCGAGTGCGCCACGGGCTCGGCCCGCTCCTCCTGAAGTTTTAAATCTCAGCTATATACAGTACTGATGACTTAAGAATTTTTATTTCCAGCCTATTCCCTTTGTTTTCAGCTCCATATCTAAATAGCTAGCAGTCTGCTTGACATCTCAACTTGATTTTTTTCTTAGAAATTTCAGATGTAACATGTCTAAAACCAAAGTCTTGATCTTTCTCTTCAGACCCAAATTCTTTCTCCTCCAGTGTCCCATTTCATTAGATAGCATATCCATTTGTCCAGTTATACAGGCTAGAAACTTGAAAGGCATTCTTGATTTGTCCCTTATCCCATGTATCCATATCCTAAGTTCTATCTGCTACTTCCAATATATGTCTTGAATCAATTTCTATACATCCTCACTATCAGTTTTCTAGTTCAAGCCACAGTCCTTTTTCACCTGGATTGATCTCTGTGGCTCCTAGTATTCTTATCTTTAAAATGGGAGTAATAAGAGTTTTCACCCTATTGGATTGTTACGAGAATTAAATGAGATGACCGTGATAAGCACAGGGCATGCAGTAAATGACCAGTAAGCAATTATTATTGTAATTGTTATTATAAGCTGAACAACTTCAATACTGACTTTCATTTCTCAATAATTTGTTGAATGAATAAGTAAACTGTAACTTGCTGTAGGAATTGTGCCTTTTGGTTTTTTTTTTTTTTTTTCTCCTAAAGATGACCGGTAAGAAGATATTAGCACTTGACTTGGTGTTGTCAGTACCACTCTCTCCCAAGTGAGCCATGGGCCTGCCCTTCCGGTAAGAAGATATTAGCACTTGACTTGGTGTTGTCAGTACCACTCTCTCCCAAGTGAGCCGTGGGCCTGCCCTTCATCGTGCCTTTGGAAGCACCAGCTTACTGATATTCTTGTCATCTTATGACAAACGCTTTTCATTCTGCAGACAAATTAAAGGACACAGAAGAGAAAAACAAAGAGTTTTCCAGCTTTGGATACTTTTACCCATTTTATGTAATAAAACCAAATATATCTGGTTGCCTTGTTTTCTTCCATTCTTGCTCCTTTCCACTCTCCTCCCCAAACCCAAACAAACCACATCACTTCTCCATTCAGCAGTAACATATCATTTCTTTGCTTAAAACTCTTCAGTGAATTTCCCATTGTTAAGTGCTTATTACATTTAGGATAAAATTAAAAATCCTTACTGGGATCCACAATACTCTATAACCTGGTTTTTTGCCTGCTTCAGTAGCTTCATCTTGTACCATCCTCATCTCCCTCACTAAACTCCAGCCACACTGCTTTTAATTTCCTTAGTTATGCCAAGTTATTTTCCAAATGAGGCTTTTGTACATAGTGTTCTATTTGCCTGGATTGTTCCAGCACCACCACCCCACAATCAATTCATTCTTCAATTTTCAACTTAAGTGGTACTTTCTTGTGGAAGCTTCTCTTGATGTTCTCTACTCTCTGTCCCTAAGTCTTCAATCTTAAGTTTCATCATGCTCTGTGTTTTACTTTATATCATTTTTCAGAACTTGTAATTATTTATTTACTGATTACTTAAAGTATGTCTCCTGTAAGCTAGTGACTTTCATTTCTCAATAATTTGTTGGATGAATAAGTAAACTGGAACTTGCTGTAGGAATCATTGTGCCTTTTGGAAGCACCAGCTTACTGATATTCTTGTCATCTCATGACAAACACTTTTCATTCTGCAGACAAATTAAAGGACACATAAGAGAAAAACAAAGTTTTCCAGCTGGATACTTTTACCCATTTTATATCATAAAACCCAAGATTTTAGACTCTTCGAATTGGAGATAAGTTTTACGTAGGTCAACTTTCCTCTTTACTTTCAGTCACAACACTAATTTTATCTCCTTTGTACATTTGTTTTATGGATCTTTTTTTAGGAAAGAGCCGTTAAAAGTCACAGTAGTGATTTTTATATTTGAACAGAAGATTAAACTATGAGACCAGTGAAAGTGAGGTTTCTATAAATAGATAAAGCAGAATTCCATATTTAAGTCAGTTGTTGGTGGATGAGGAAGGAAATATTACAATTTAATAATTTTAATGTGTGTAAAATAGGATTTGTATTGGAAAATAGGAAATAAAAAAGTAGGGAGTGTGTGAATGCCAAACACAGACATTCGAATTTGTTTTCTAGGTAGTGATAAGGTATTAAAAATGTTTGGGAGGGAAGTAGCATCAATAGTAAGTATTTAGCACTTACTAAGTGCTTGTTATTTTGTTGGAGTACACAAGTTCTTCATCTGTGCATTATGCCCCTTCCTCCTTTCACTCTGCTTTAGGGAGAAAGTTAAGAAGACAACTAGTATGTACTTTAGTTGGTAAGAGGTAAAAAGAGTAGTTTTTTTAGAAAGGTTATTGTAGTGTAAAGGATTTGTTGGTGGAAAATTCTTGAGCAAATGGAGACTGGAAAATGATTGACACAATTCATCGATAAGGATGAACAGTGGTAGTTGAAAACGTGGGCTCAGGTATTAGGCATAGCTTTATCTCTTATCGAATGCATGCATGAATTACTTAATTTTTGTAAGCCTAAGTTCCTCATCTGTAAGACAGAGATAATAATAATCCCTATCCCTTAGGATTATTGTGAAAATTAAATGAAATAATGCCTTTATGGCACTTAGCACTGTGCTTAGTAAATGTTGCATAATAAATATTGGGTGATGATGGCAAAGGAATGAGTTTCTGAATCAGGAATAGTAACTATGAAAAGACTGGGTTTGGGATAGACTAGAAAGAGTTGTTAAAGCTAAGATTTCTTGCCTGAATGACGGGGCAAGGACAAAAGTTGAGATGTCTAGAAGCCTCTTAATGAGGGCATGGGCTGTATCATCTTCACATTTGTATCCCACAGTGCCTTCAAACTGGGATAGCTCAGTAGATAATTTTTTACTAAATGAACAAATGAGTTTAAAGTTGATGTTACATAGGCAGTCAGAGATGTTGGGGTAGAACTTCAGGGCTAGTTCAGGCTTAGAGAGGCCTGAATTTGAGAAGCAAACTCATGAAGTTAGTTTTGAAAGAAAAGTGAAAGCACCAAGTTAACCCACCTTTTGAAATTTGTATAGACATATCATGGAAGCTGTGCTTTAAGACCTAAGACATTATGTAACAATGTTTATAAAGTCAACAAAGGATATACTCTTTTTTACTGATTCCTTAGTTTCAAAATGTAGCAGAAATAAACAGGACACAAGTTGATCAAGATGCAGGCTCCTCCCATATTCCCTCATTTTTGCACAGTAGATATATTCCTAAAGTTCTGTTGATCATGCGTGTGTTTATGTGTGTTGTGTATCATGCTTTAAATATTTTCAGTAATGTAATTTGTGGTTTTTAAATAATCAAGGGGTTAATCTTTGTTGTATAAATGATCACTTTCTTTTTTTTCTTAAGTTTTAATTTTGTATATTGGATTCTTTTAAAAAGGCACACTTATATTTTCTTTAGCTGAGGTGATGGCTCCCGGAGAACTGGCATAGCTGCAGAATATGAGTAGTTTCCCAAGAGGAGTGCATTGCCTTTGGCACAAGGATCAGAATAAAGGTGAATTGTTTTTACATAGGGTTTTTCAGTAAAAGTCACTGAAAAGTAAGTAATGTTTTATGTTTTAGGTATGTTTTGTTTTAGAGTGTGCAATTAGCAAGAATTGACAATTTTCTGTGTTTATTTTTTAGTAATAGTTTATGCTTTAGTGTGCTTTCTCTACTACAGAATGCCTTCTGGTTCAGGATGTTTTCAAAGTAGTACCTAAAATGTGAGCATTTAAATGAATGTACAGGGTAAAGAAACATTTTTGCCAGTATTATTGTATGAACTTTCATAGAATGCTCAAAGTGGAACAGTAATTTTGATAATTGTGAAGAAATTTAGGGAAAGGGGAATCTCTTTGGACATGCTTGAAGAATAATTTACTTTAATTATCTTTTGTCTTCCTAGTATTGCTTCGATAATATAATTAGCATTACAAAGTTCAAGGAAAACTTGTCTTTGTCTTAGGTTCATAGAAAGTTTAACTGTTACTGGATCATGCTTCATACTGGAAAGAAACAGTTTTTTTCTCTTAACCAAGTAGGGCAAACCTTGATAATATGATGAATATAAAAAAGTAGATCTCGTTAATTGATTTAGTGTAAAACCACATAATGGACTGAATTGAGGCATTAATAAAAAGGTTTATTATATTAGTTCTACCAATTTTATGTCCTGCATCTTTTAGTTTTTTTTTTTTCTTAGAAGAGGCTGCTAGTAGAAATGGGTAAGAAAATGTTCAGTATCTTAAGATTTTATACAGTTAACCAAAACTGAATCAAAGGGTTTGAGAGGCATAGAGAAGTAGATAGAAAGAAAAAGTAACCAATAACATTTTTTATTTCTCATATACTTTAATGAACTTTGAAATCTTCATCTCTAAAGTTTATTAAGTAATGTCCCTTTTTTTTCTTTTTTTCTTTCTTTTTTTTTTTGGCGACTCTCCTGTACAGTGATAGACCTTGTTGTTATCAGCACCATGCTCTAAACCAACTGAGCAAACTGGCCAGTCTCCTGTCATTTTTTAATAATAAGTTTTTGCTATGTTTTGTTGTTAAGGTTAATGACTGTTACTTACTTTTGGTCTGTAAGGTAAATACTAAGATAATGGGGTTTTGTATTCCCTTTTATTTTGGCACCCTGACCGATAATAACATGTAAGGAATTTGACAAGAGGTACGACTTTTAATATTGGATTTTCTTCATTGAGCAGTGAATCCCAGTTTGGGCAAGCTTAATAATTTGTTTAATAATGTATTCTGTAACTGCATATTAATTCTATTCTTCATAAATGATTCTTCTCCCATTGAATTCTTAACAAGATATGAGGACAGCATTTTACTTAGTGGAGTTCAGATGCACGTAGAAAAATCTTAGATGTATTCAACGTGTAAGTTACATGTATGTCATATAGTATACAGCAATACTTTTGTAAGGCACATGGTGATATTTAAAATGGGATTTAGGATACCAGTATCTGCTGTTGTATATTTTAACAGCAAATTGAATAAAATTAATGTTGTTGATTTGCTCATTACGCTTGAACAGCGAGTTTCTGTTTCTTGTCTGTCAGACACTGACCTAGCGGGGTACAGAGATTGAAGAACATATTCCCTGTCTTTATATGGCAAAGTCTAGATAAAGACAAAGAAGTAAACAGACAGTTTATAATACAGTGTGATGAATACTAGAGGTTAAGTAAGCACAGAGTACAACACGAAGATAAAGAAGGATTTAAACAGTCTCAGTATGGATATGGAGGAGAAACAAGTGAAAAGTAGTTATGAAAATCTTCTTAAAGAGGCCTTGGTTTTAGGCCTTGAGCCTTGATTTTAGAGCCAGGAGAAGAAATTAAGGAGGGTTTTGGATGGGTAGAGTACATAAAAATCCTGTAGACCTGACCACAGTAAGAACTCTGTAGACATAACCGCAGTGTGCGTAAAAGTATAGTAGCATGAGAACATGGCTTTTGGGGGGAGTTATAAGTAGTTCAGATGGCTGGATTTGGGGAGCTTATTGGGAATAGAGAAGTAAGCATGGCCCGGATTATGAAGGGCCTTTATATCATTTTTATGAATTTAGATTTTATCGTGGGGACAGTGGGGAGCCATTGAATGATATTAAGAAGGAGAGAGATAGGTTTGATCTGCAGTTCATTATAATGCTATCTGAAAGGTATGTGGAAGCAGAATTGATGGGACTTTCTTCAAGGAAGAAGTCAAAGGCAACTCATATTTCTGGCATGGGAAACGGGTAGGAGAGGAACCATGTATTCTTTGCAGTGCTGAGAGGCTGAGGGGAAAAAATCTCAAGGACATATCCAAACAATGAAGCCACAAATTATTAATTGCAAAAAAAAAAAAAAGTATTACAAATACACATTGCTGGCCCAAATTTTATAGAGTTGCTAGTTTGAGCAAAATGTCATGTCTATAAACAATAATGGACTCTATTACTTTGATGGATTCATACAACCAGCAAATTATATTAATATCTAAATATGGCCACAGTAGGCACTCAAAAAAATGTGATGATATGAGTGAATAATAATTAAAAGACTTACAATGCATAACACCTTTTAACTCTTCAAAGTGTTTTTATATCTCTTCTTTTATCCCCAGTTATTTGCTGTACAGTAACTAGACGCCTCACACTAGGTGCCCCCAGGCTGTATCCTGCTGGCAGGTGGGTTTTGTTTGATTTATAGCTTTTTTTTTTTTTTTCGTGACCGGCAACGGATCGCAACCCTCAGTGTCGCGCCCGTACCGGACCGGGACCGGCAACGGGATCGCAACCCTCGGTGTTGCTCCCGCACCTTGCTCAGCCAGTGAGCGGCCGGTCTGTATGTGGGATCCAAACCCTCAGCGGGAGCGCCGCCGCGCTTCCCAAGCGGCGCACTGTAGCAGTGCGCCACCGGGCCGGCCCTTGATTTATAGCTTTAAAAAATAAATTTGAGGGACCAGCCCGGTGGCGCACTGCTATAGTGCGCCGCTTGGGAAGCGCGGCGGCGCTCCCGCTGAGGGTTCGGATCCCACATACAGACCGGCCGCTCACTGGCTGAGCGAGGCGTGGGAGCAGCACCGAGGGTTGCGATCCGTTGCCGGACACGGAAAAAGACAAAAATAAATAAATAAATAAATAAATTTGAATTCATTGCCCACCATTTAAAATGAACAGTTTTGTATAAAAGTTTGGATGTCTTCATTTTCTTGAAAAATTAGATGGTCTGGCAATGCTAGGTTTATTATTTCTACATGGTAATAATTGGCTAGATTGGGTGGCAGTTGTTCACATTTTGCCCACCTAAGTCATTTCTGCCACCTGCCTGGCCCCTATAGGCAGTTGAGTTAGTGACCTCTGTTAACATTTTATTTATTTTGAGGTCTTTGAAGAAAGAGGTATTATAGATAAGGAATAAACTCAAAATGGACACTAATTTCATTGATATTAATAGCTGCTATCTGCTAATTGCCTAATATGTGTTATCTCATTTCATTCTGCAACACTACAGCATTTGCTATTCCTGTTTTATGGTTGAGAAAACTAATGGCTAGAGAAGGTAAGTTACAAATTAGTAAGTGACAGAGCTGGCTCCAGATTTCTAGGTCTAGTATCTTTTTTCCTTTTATACTACCTTTTCTAGTTGAGCTGTTCAGGCAGAGGCAATGTTTAATGATTTTTTATTAAATTATAAGTAAGAACCCATTTAGAGGCAATGTTTTTAGAGGTTTGAAAATAGTATAAATAAAATTTGGTATAGCAATTTTAGATTGCATATTTGTGTATATAACACACACAGTATTTGATAACATTCTCTGCTATTACTGTAATTGTATTTACTTGCTGACTTTGGAAAAGCTAGTTTAAAAAGCCTTAGAAATCCCATCATTGTTGTAGGTCATTTTTAAGTATTAAAAGTTCATTCAGGAAACCTGGGTATTTTCAAAGATAAAATTGGTAAAGATTCCTTCTGGGAGTGATAATGTTAAATATAAATGGTGGGTGGTTCTTCAGAAGAGAGGGTCTTTTTTGTTTATTTATTTCCCCTAAAGATTAAACGATTTTCTCAAATACTGTAATTCTAGAGGTTGTACTAATTTGTTTATTCTTTAAAAAATAAAATTTTCTTTTTTTGTCAGCTGTCTGGTATGGGGATCCAAACCCTTGACCTTGGTGTCGTAACACCATGCTCTAACCAACTGAGCTAACCAGCCAGCCCTTAAAATTTTTATTCATTTAAATGCCCTCTTTACATATGGATGTGCTTAGGCTGTCAACTTTTAGAAGGAATTGTTTGGTGATAAACTTTGATGTTTGGGGAGGAACTCCATTCTAAGAAATGGAGTCAGATGTCTGAAATTTCTTTTTAACTTATATTTGAAATTCAAGACTCATTAGCATTAGCATTCATGAAGGAAGAAAACAATCAACACTTTAATAGTGAAGACAATCACATTGAGAATGGAATCTTATTTCCAACTGGCATGTCTTTAAGTGGCAACAATACGGTTAGAATGGTGTAAAATTCAGAATTTAGGCATTAATAGACACAGATACTAGACACATGGCAAAGAGGGGAACATGTACAGAAGAAATTAAAGGTGGTTACATTCAGTCACTGACCATCAGTGACTACTTTAGTTGTCTTTCTTACCTGTGCTGTACAACTAATTAGGGCGTTTAAGGATGCTTCATATAAGTGGTTTGTTGAAATGGAGGAAAGAACATGAGATGGTTTTTATTAAACATTCTCTTAAACTCTTATTTTAATCACTAGTAAATTGTAACTTATTATTTTTCTTCCTTAGAACCTGTCAGGTGAAGGTGTATTTTTGCTTTTTAATTTGGCTAGAAGCAACTTATTTTTAAAGAAAGTATGTCTTCTCTGAAGATAAATGGTCCTATCAGAATTCGAAGTATGCAGACTGGGATTACAAAGTGGAAAGAAGGATCTTTTGAAATTGTGGAAAAAGAGAATAAAGTCAGCCTAATAGTTCACTACAATACTGGAGGAATTCCAAGGATATTTCAGGTATTACCAAATTTTGACTTGGAATGGATCTTCAATTGGAATCCTTTAGTAAATAGCTGTTCTGTGCCATAGTAAGCATCACGGTAGCCCTCCTCCCAGATTAATATTTCTTGTTTCTTATTTTCAGGACACTAATACTTTTGTGTATGTTTTATAAATTGTTCAGCAGCATTGTTGGCAGTGTATAATAAAGAGTAGAAAGTAATTACATTATTGAAAAGAAAACTGGTGGGAGGAAGCTGAGAAGGGTCTAAGCTATTTTTAAAGCCACATTAGGATAATCTTATTTATTCTTTTTTTTTTCCTTAACATATATGATGGACTTATCACTATTTAGTGTTAGCTTTTAATAGGATTTATTAGTGTCTTCTAAAAACCAGTTTCTATTTCATAATAAATCCTGCCAAAGGTCATGGTATGGACCTTTCAAAGATGATTGTTCAAGGTCATCTTTACAGCTGTTTTCTTCTAACCTAATCTTTTGAAGGATCCTCATTTTATCACTGCAAAAAATAGTTAATTTTGTTTTCACTTCTGTACTCCTTCTCTTATGCAGCCAAGAGTTACTCATGTTGCTATAAGTTGAATTTAAGAACATAATTTCTTACATTTTTCTGCACTTTAAAATTTTGTATTTGTTAATTAGATTATATAACAGTATAATATTCATTCTAAAATATTCATTAGAGGAATAATATATAACTTTATGCTTGAGAACCTGACCTGAGACAAAATTTCAATTTGTCTCTGCTTTTGTACTGTGTAAATAAATTGCTAATGATTTTGTATATTAAAAATATTCTTAAATAAGTTAGAAGTAGTGATAGGTAATAGAAACAATAGGAATTTGTCACATGCATGGATTTAGTGGTTGCCCATCTCAACAGAAGAATGGTTTTTTTCAAACATAGACTTTTTTTTCAGTCCTTAGCCCAAGTTGGCACTGAGTAAATATTCAAATATTTAAACAAACAGATATTTAGGAGCATGGTGATTCTATCTGTGATTCCAGCATCATCTCAGTTCTAGATTAGTTTACATTCAAATTCATTTATTAACCACCTGCAGGTTACTGTTGTGAATACTATAGTAAGGGCTAAGAATTCAGAGCTGAATGAGACACTATTCCCCTCAAATGTAATAGTATCAAAATGCATTTTCAGCTGTAAAGATAGTTAAGATAATGAGGTAACAAAGAAGCAAATGGTTTGTGCTCTGAGGATTTAGAGGATAAGTGGGAATTTGTGAAACATTGGGGTAGGTGGAAGTAATTTCTATACATGGACAAACACATGCAAGTGTGAATCAACACTCAGGGAACCAGAAAGTTATTTTTAAACAAATGGATGGTAGAGAGTGAATGGCAGAAGTAGAGGCTGAAGAGCTAGGGAGGAACTAGATTTTGATGTTTTTTGTTTGTCGTAAGAGGAGCTCAGGTTCTAAGAAGCCAGTAATCTCAAATCCAGATTCCTTAGGGAGCTAGGCAGATGACTTTATTTCAAGAAATAATGGGAGAATAAGAATGACATGTAGGAGGTTATTGTGGGAGTTCAGATGAGGGATGAAAGTCCAGAACAAAGGAAAAGCCAGTGGAAGAAGCAAGAGGAGGTAAGAATAGATTTGAAGAGATTTGGAGAAGAATTAACTGATTAGGATGGGAGGTGAGAGAGAAGAGTCTGGGAGATTCCTCTTTGAGTGGATGGCAATCCCTTTCTTGTCCTCTGTAACAGGAAGCAGAGGGGAAGAATTGGGGTGTGAGGATTGGGAAAGATGAGTTGTCCTTAGGTATCAGGCATTCGGAAGGTAAAGAGGACTGGAGTTCCAACACAGGGGTGTGGACTTTGAGACAGAGAAAGAGTTAGGAGTCTTCACCATATGGGTAGTTACTGGAATTATGGGGCTAGATGGGATTTTCATTTGTTGAAGTGACCAAGTTCAAGATTATTCTCACCTTGTTAATAAACTTTCCTTCTTATATTTAACTTTATTTTTATTTTATTTATTTTTATTTTTAATAAACATCCAGTTTTATTTACAAAGCATTAAAGTTTCAGCAGGAAGTACCCAAGGCTAAGTCTCATCTTGTACAAAACTACAGAACATTTTAAAAATACAGTGGGGGGGCAGAGGGATGACAAAAGGGAATTTGAGAATATACATATTATTGTATGAAAATAGTGGTAAATTGACTGAAATAATACCTTTATGTTATGTATTTTCCTTTTGCATGCTAAGTTGCTTATTTAAATATTTTGGAGTTAAAACATCTGAAACTAGTTAGTTATTGTGTTTTACTAGATAATTTCTACTCAAGGACATGAATTTAAGATCTACTTTGAAGCTAAATATATATAATTTAAAATTTGAATATAAATTATCTGGTAAAATTGTTTTCTTTTTTTTTTTCCTAATTTTTTGTTTGTTTGTTTGTTTGTTTTTGGCAGCTGGCCATACAGGGATATCTGAACCCTTAACCTTGGTGTTGCAAGGCCACACTTTAAGTAACTGAGCTAACCAGCCAGCCCTGTTTTCTATTCTTATCCCAAAATTGACAAGGTCAATTCTCTCTAATTTAAAAAAATTATGAAATATGTTATTACTTCTTTCTCTGTGCCGTTCAGAGGATATGTCTTCAGTAGAAGTCAGCATTACAAATCTTTGTATATGCCTGCTAAGGGAAAACATTAGGAATAAGGCTACTTGATTGGCAGGAATTATTTAGATATTAAAGAAACTATAAGATTTATTAATTTAGCTTTGGAAAAATTTTATTCAAGAGAAAAAAATTACCACTTCACAGCACATATCCAAAGTCTGCGAGAGTCTAGGACATATTACTGAAACAGTTCTGGGGAGAGGTATCAGTAAGCTAATAGAGTTACAGGGATTCTTGCTCTTGATCTTTGTGATTGAATGAAAGTTAAGTGAGTCTACTTAGTTAAAAAGAAAAAAAGGTGTGTTCCTACGTAGATTGGTAAAGGTTTGTTTTGAAGTGTATTTGAGAGTTTGGAATTCTTTTGAGGATTGTAGCTTTTACATTGCAGCTGTCTAAACAATTTGCCAAATATCTTACAAGATGTGTTTAAAAGAAAGAAAGAAAAAGACACTAATCCAGTTTGGTTTCCTAAACTGATAATTTTATAACCATCCAGGTTCTGAAAATTGTTAACTCATTAGTTTTTAACCTTTGTGACTTTATAACTCTGTCTGAAAATATGGAATTCCCATCCATAAGATCAAGGGTGTTAGGATTAGTCTGTAAAATGAATTTTGATAGTATGTATTTGCATCTTCTAAAAGTTAAATCTTTAATTTAAATATATCAAGAAATGGGAACTCTTTGGTTGAAAAAAATTAAATTGCTATGGGGAAGAGTGAGAAATGTAACTTTGAAAATATAAAGTTTAGTATTCATTATACAACTTATACTTCATACTCATATGTTTTTGATGATAAGATAGTTTTCCTTTTGTCTTGGTCAGCTAAGTCATAACATTAAAAATGTGGTGCTTCGTCCCAGTGGAGCAAAACAAAGCCGCCTAATGTTAACTCTACAAGACAACAGCTTCTTGTCTATTGACAAAGTACCAAGTAAGGATGCGGAGGAAATGAGGTTGTTTCTAGATGCAGTCCATCAAAACAGACTTCAAGCAGGTGAGCACTAATTTTCCCAGGGTCTGACATTAGCAGTTTTAAAAGAATATGGGGCCAGCCCATGGCTCACTTGGGAGAGTGTGGTGCTGATTTAACACCAAGGCCACGGGGTTGGATCCCTATATAGGGATGGCCGGTTAGCTCACTTCGGAGAGTGTGGTGCTGATAACACCAAATCAAGGGTTAAGATCCCCTTACCGGTCATCTTATTAAAAAAAAAAAAGAATATGATAGACTGCAGACCAACATTCCTGATGAATATTGATGCAGAAATCCTCAATATAGTACTAGTGAGTTGAATGCAGCAGCACATTAAAAGGATTTTACACTGTGACCGAATAGGATTTATTCCTGGAATGCAAGATGGTTCAACATATGAAAATCAATCTATGCTAATACACCACATTAACAGAATGAAGGACAAAAATCACACGATCACCTCAATTGAAGCAGAAAAAACATTTGATAAAATTCAACATCAATGCTTTACCATTACTAATATCTTATAGTTGACAAACTTTTACTTGAGTTTTATCAACTTAAAATATAACACATTAATTAAAAATGGAGGTGTAGCAGTACTACCTTGCTTGTATTTCATTAATATCTCTATATGACACACTGTTCTCCTTGTAAAATAAAAACTTTTTGTGGTTGTTTGCTGTATAGTACCTCTCATTATGTGTTTGTGCCACCAAATCCGAGCTACGTCAATTTACGAAACGATTGAATTTTAGAATCAAGAAATTGAGTATTATTTATAACTCTCAGAATATGTATTAGTTGAATTGCTGTCTTAAGAATTGATATGTAGGGCCGACCCTGTGGCTCACTAGGGAGAGTTCGGCGTTGGGAGCACCGAGGCTATGGGTTCGGATCCTATATAGGAATGGCCGGTGCGCTCACTGGCTGAGCGCCGTGTGGGCAACACCAAGCCAAGGGTTACAATCCCCTTACTGGTCAAAAAAAAGAAAAAAGAATTAATATGTATAGAGTGTCTTCAAATGCGTTGGAGTGGAAAGCACAGGAGACTGTCTGGGAACCCATGTTTGAAGAACATGGCGTAATGGAAATACATGAGCTTTGGAAATAAACAGATTTGGGTTTGGATCCTAGCTCTGCTTGTTATTTCCTGTTTGGTTTTGGGCAAGTCACTTAAGGATTGTTGAGTTTCAGTTTCTTTATCTCTAAAATGAAAGTTATAGCACCTTAATTTCAGGGCTTTTTAAAGAATGAGTACTCATAGATGTAAGGCATGAGTGCCATATGATAGGCACTCAGTAAGTCATTGCTGTTATTAGAGTGGGTAGCTCTGTGAACTTAACTCTAACTTGATCTGTCATCCTGGGCAAGTCATTTTAATCTTTTAGGTTTAGTTGCCTTAGCTCCCCAAAGGTGATATTATATACTTTGCAAGGACTAGAGTAAGATAATGAAGATAAAAATGCTTTGAAAAGTATACAGCATTTAATATAGGCTAAGTGTAGCACTTCAAATCAGTGGAACAAAGACTAATATTTGTATTTGATAAACAGTGTTGTCTATAAACAGGACAACTAATTAACCATTTAAGGAGATAGTAAAGCTGAATCGTTATTGCCCTTCTTTCATCTAAATAAATTTCACATTGATCAAAGACTTGAATGTTACAAAAATAAAATGACAAAAGTTTTATTAAAAGGGGAGAGTGGAGTTTTAACAATTTCTGGATAGAAAAGACCTTTCTGAGTATTACATAAAAACTAGAATCAATAAAGAAAAATATTGATAACTTAGACCATGTAAAAAATTAGACTCCGTGGCAAGGCAAGAAAAAAGACAAAGGGAGAAAATATTAGAGTGATAGAGTTAATATGGCTAATGTACGAAGAGCTGTTTTACAGATCAGTAAGAAAAAGACAATGCAGTGGAGAAATGAGCAAAAACTGCAAATAGGGAATTCAGGAAAAAAAAAATGGATGGACCTTAACATGAAAAAATTTTCAATTTCACCAAGAATTAAACAGAATCAAAATTTTACTATCACATTGGCAGCAGGGTGGAGATAAGCAAGATACTCTCATATCTTGGTAGGAGCTTAGAAATATTTTTTGGAGGACTATGTGGTAATTTCAGTTTAGTTTAAAATTGCATGTCCTTTTGGACACATTTAGGGGGTTAGTGTCAGTTCATTCCTGTATATTACCTCTACAAGCTAAATTATACATTCTTTTTTTTTTTTTTTCCTTTTTGTCTTTTTTCGTGACCGGCAACGGATCGCAAACCTCAGTGTCGCGCCCGTACCGCACCGGGACCGGCAACGGGATTGCAACCCTCGTTGTTGCACCCGCACCTCGCTCAGCCAGTGAGCGGCCGGTCTGTATGTGGGATCCGAACCCTCGGCGGGAGCGCTACCATGCTTCCCAAGCGGCGCACTGTAGCAGTGCGCCACCGGGCCGGCCCTATACATTCGTTTTTAATGACTTTAAAGTGTTGCTAGTATGGAGAAGCATTTTAATATTCAAACTACTTGTTTTGATGGCTTTAACCATTCCATATGAAGAGTTTATTGAGTGTTATTGACACTGCAGTCAAGAAATGTATTTTCCTTTGATCTTAATTTTCCCCATGTTCTACTTGTACAAATTTAAAATATATTGCCATTTTATACACTTCAAAATCTAGGAGTATTAGACTTGTGAGTCATAAAGTAAACCTGATACATCAGATGTGAATGCCAGCACCTATTAAATTGCATTTTGCTCTGTTTTCAGGAATGTAAGAATATATGCATATTGGCTGCTAGAAATTTTAGAAGGAAGTCAGTTTTTTCCAGAGGGGGGCATTCCTCAGCGTCTTGTGTAGACCTATCACAAAAAATTTAGTCTGAAGCCCAATTGTGCTAAAACTGGTTCTATGACTATTTCCCTGACCAAATAGAACCAGGGCCTCCTGTAACCCACACAGTAAGAAAGTTGCACGGTGTATTCCAACAAGTATCAGTTTGTCTGGTGTCTTTAGAGCCTTTGTTGAAGTGATTCTCATCTGAACATTATGTCTGTTGTAACTGATAAGCATTCCACTTTTGTTATTTATTAGTGGTATCTTTTTTTTGAAGTGTCAAATCTTGTGGCTGTTAAAATAAAGTACCATTGGGCCGGCCCGGTGGCACACTGGATAGTGCGCCGCTTGGGAAGCGCGGCGGCGCTCCCGCCCAAGGGTTCGGATCCCACATACAGACCGGTTCCCACTCACTGGCTGAGCGAGGCGCGGGAGCAACGCCGAGGGTTGCGATCCCGTTGCCGGTCCCCGGTCCGGTACGGGGGCGACACTGAGGGTTGCGATCCGTTGCCGGACACGGAAAAAGACAAAAAATAATAATAATAATAAAAAAATAAAGTACCATTGTAATTAAAAAAAAAAATTTCATGTCCTTTAACCCAGAAATTCTTTTAACAGCACTTCTGTTTGACCCACAGGTTTTTTTTTGGTGGCTGGCTGGTGCCGAGATCCAAATCATTGACCTTGTTATTCTAACACCTTCCTCTAACCAACTGACCTAACCGGCCAGCCCCTGACCAGCAATTCTTATTCTGAGGAGTTTATCCTACAAAAATTATTCTATTAGTACAAGAAGATATGTGAAAGGATGCTAAGCATTGTTTGCAATTTTTAAAAATTAAAACACTTCAAATGATCATTAGTGGGAAATTGGCTAACCAGATTAAAGTATAAAATACTTTTTAAAGTATACGTAAATTCATGTTTATATAGTACCTTGAATGTTCTTTAAACTAGTACTGATTTCTTTGAAATAGAAGCTGTTTATTCTGCTTAATAAACTTTTACTTGTAGAGAATGTTGTGGAGTATGAAGGTACTTCAAAAAGTTCATAGAGGGCCGAGCCCGTGGCGCACTCGGGAGAGTGCGGCGCTGGGAGCGCAGTGGCGCTCCCACTGCAGGTTTGGATCCTATATAGGGATGGCCCCTGCGCTGTGAGCGCAGTGCAGCCGGTCTCAAAAAAAAAAAAGTTCATAGAAAAATGGAATTTAGATAATAGGAATCCTTTTATGAACTTTTTGGAGACCCCTCATATGTGTAATTGGAGGTATAACTGTCACTGTTTCTGATGTTTCCTTGGCATCATGTGTCAGTGTTCATGCCACAGATATACAGTGACTAACTTTTTCCAATAGTGTTAATTATCAAATGTTTATATGAGAGAATTTCTAGCATTTTCTTTTTGCTTTGTAAAGTTTATCCTTCTTTTACACGTTCTCAGATTTATGTATTATTTGATTTCTTGCTTGAGATTCTAGCTCTAAATTTTTGTTACTGTAGTATCAGGTGTACATTCTATCAAAAAGAATTAGTTAATAAGCACTTTGATTTATATTTTTCCTGCTGTTTTTTCCATTTCTTTCAATACTGTATAAAAGTAATAATTGTAAATCTTTTTATTAAAGTAAGTGATTTGGGTTTTTTTTGTTTTTGTTTTGTCATCAGCCATGAAATCTTCTCAGGGATCTGGTAGTTTTGGAGTCATTCTGGGCAGCAGGACCTCACACACAGAAACCAACAGGCAGCTTTCTTATTCAGACAATCAGGTATGTTCATTTGAACCTTTTTAGCTTTTTAAAAAAATGATTGTCATAGACACTCTATAAGGGAGTTGTAGGAAGTAGAATTTGGAATATAATGCCTAATATTTCTGTAGGGTATTTTCCACTTATCTGAAAATTATTTTAGCCATCTCAATCTCTTCAACTATTTTTATGAGAATCTTTTTAAGATTTATCACATTCTTCTCTTTTTACATATAGTTTTATTAAATACAACTTAACCTTGCTTCATGTCTCATGGCCATCATTGTGAACCACAGTAGAGTGTTTTGGAGTTAGATGTGGATTTGAGACTTTGTGCTGCCAGTTACTACCTATTAGTTACTGCAGAATTTCTTTATGTATCCTGAGCCTCAGTACTCATCTATAAAATTGAGACAGCAATAATATTTTAAGGATTATGTGAAATAATGCATATGCTGTGAGATAATGCATATGGAAGTGCTTAGCCCACTGTATACTATACCACATACTAACAGCCCTATTTCTGTGATGCTCCCTGGGTCTGTTCTATGTTATTAACTTTGCTTTTACACTATATTTTACCAAACTGTTTTGTTGAGGTTCTCTGTTTGCTTTTTTTAGTAGTTTTTCTTTCATAAATATTATTGCACCAGCTGTGAGATTTGCTGTGCACCAGTAAATAATCTTAATCAACTTAACAGTACTTATGTCTCTCATAATTTGTTTTGTAAAGGGAAACCAGGCACAAAGTAAGAGAAACTTTGAAGCTCTTCTATAAGTAAGTTAATGAGTTCTAATTGGCTGTGCAGAGAGGTGAATACTTAGTCAATTTATTGGATTAAGTAATGTATAAAATTTAATTTTGGGGCCGGCCCGGTGGTGCACTGGAGAGTGCGCCGCTTGGGAGCGCAGCGGCGCTCCCCCCGAGGGTTCGGATCCCATGTGGAGACTGGTTTCTGCTCACTGGCTGAGCGCGGTGCGGGTGCAACACCGAGGGTTGCGATCCCGTTACCGGTCAGTAAAAAAGACAAAAAAAGGAAAAAAAAAAATTAATTTTCGTTAGGTTCTTTTTATAGGTTAGATTTTTTTGAGGGGGTGGACATTCTTATTGAGGTATAATTGACATGCAGTAAATTGTACATGCTTAAAGTACAATTTGATATGTTTTCACTTATATATACACGCTTAAAATCATCACCGTAATCAGCATGGTGAACGTAGTTATACCCTTACCGGTTTCTTCATTCCCCTTTGTAATCCTTCCCTCCCACCCTTTCTCTGGTCCCTATTTGGAAGCAACCACTGATTTGCTTTCTGTCACTATAGATTAGGTTGTATTTTCTGGAGTTTTATGTACATGGAATCAGTGTGAATTTTTTCTTTTCTGTTTTTTTTTTTTAGTCTGGCTTCTTTCACTCAGCATAATTATTTTGAGATTCATATACAGCATGTGTCACTTAATGACACTGTTAGGTGATTTTGTTGTTGTGCAAACATCATAGCATGTAATTACACAAATCTAGATGGTATAGCCCATGACACAGCTAGGCTATATGGTACAGCCACCATTGTATATGTGGTCCGTTATTGATATGTGACTATAGTCGTCAGTAGGGATTTAAATTGTTGGAATATTATTTAAATGCATAAGTGCATATAGAGTAGAAACAAATATTTATACTTCACAAGTAATTCCCATTAGTGAGATTATAAAATAAACTTTGTGGGTATAGCTAGCATTAAATAGAGAAGAAGTAGAATAGAAAATAATAGGGTATTGTACATATTAAGGATAAATATTGAGTTATGAAGCTGATCCGAACCCTCGGGCGGGAGCGCCGCTGCGCTTCCCAAGCGGCGCACTATCCAGTGCGCCACCGGGCCGGCCCCAGTACAATAGGTTTTGATGTAAAATATTTCTTACGGTAATGTCATGGTCAAAAGTTGGAAAAAGGTGTAAAACAGTGTACATAGAGTATGCTACCATTTGTATAACAAAAATAATAAGATATTGATTTATATTTGCATAAAAAACGAGAAGAATACTTATGGGTGGGAGAATGTGAAATGGAGGAACTAGGTGAATGGGGATGGGGTGATACTGAGAATTCTCAGTCTATGGCTTTTAATATTACTTTGATTTGTGAACCTTGAGAATGTCACCCATTTGAAAATAAATTTAACTTTTTAAACCATTTATCCAGATTGACCTTAGAGTTTTTTTAATTTCCTATCCTAATTTTGTAATTCTGTAAAAAGAAGGTAATTGGACATAACTTCCACAGAGAAATCACGTAGCTCTCAGTGTAGAGATATAAAACTTCACTGAAAGAATGTTCATCTAAAGTACTGTTTCTCGGGCCGGCCCGGTGGCACACTGGAGAGTGCGCCGCTTGGGAGTGTGGCAGCGCTCCCGCCAAGGGTTCGGATCCCATGTGGAGACCGGTTCCCGCTCACTGGCTGAGCGCGGTGCGGGCGCGACACCGAGGGTTGCGATCCCGTTGCCGGTCAGTAAAAAAGACAAAAAGGAAAAAAAAATAAAGTACTGTTTCTCAACTAATATGTATGTGTACATTGCTGTATTCTCTCAGAAGGTCCTTGCTATTTCTATAGGATAGCCTCTCTGATTCTGGTAAATTAGCTTCACTCCAGACCAGTTAGGCTAGAATCTCTAGAGATGTGTCTCCAGTTGTATTTTTTAAAGCTCCCCCCATGAGAATCACTGGTCTAAAAGTATTCCAATTAATTTGATGATTTAATTATCTCAAATTTTATTTTTACAGACCTCTTCAAAAAGAGGAAGTTTGGAAACTAAAGATGATATTCCATTTCGAAAAGTTCTTGGTAATCCAAGTAGAGGATTGATGAAGACTGTACCAGGAAGTGGGATAGTTGTTACCCGGACGATTCCTTCTTTGACGTCTACATCAACACCTCTTAGATCAGGGTTATTAGAAAATCGGTAGGAAACTCTTTTTTCTTAGTGATTAGCTGTAGCTGTTTATAAATGTCTTTTAGGTCTTTTAGAAAGACCAGTAATTTGAGGAGAAAAAGGAGAAAGTACAGAGCACATTTTTGGTAGATAACAAGTTTTTAATCATATGTAATTTATGTCAGTGACATTTATTGAGCATGCAAATATACAGTATATTAATTTAAATATGGTGTGGAGAATTAGGTAACAGTCACATTTCCTGTCCTTGAGTATGTGGCTTATAATTTTTAATAGTGTGAATTAGACTTTTTAAAAATAACCTTTTTTTCCCTGTTGTCTATAGGACTGAAAAGAGAAAAAGAATGTTATCATCTGGCTCAGAGCTGAATGAAGATTACCCTAAGGAAAATGATTCATCATCGTAAGTTAAGAGCCTTTATGGCACTAGATCAGTGTTTCTTATACTGGCAATTGTAACCACTAGAGAAGATTGGAGGAATGGTGTTCAATTTATGGGAATTCCAAAAGTAGAAGAGTAGAATTCGAAGTGTTTTGGTGACAGTAGATTGTAGGCTCAGTGTAGAGGCAATTTGACCATTTGCTATTGCTTTGACCATTTCATTGCACTTCTCATATCCTGCCTTTTTTTTTTTTTCCTTTTTGTCTTTTTTACTGACTGGTAACGGGATCACAACCCTCAGTGTCGCACCCGCACCGGGGACCGGCAACGGGCTCGCAACCCTCGGTGTTGCGCCCGCACCGCGCTCAGCCAGTGAGCGGGAACCGGTCTCCACATGGGATCTGAACCCTCGGCGGGAGCGCCGCCACACTCCCAAGCAGCGCACTCTCCAGTGTGCCACCGGGCCGGCCCTATCCTGCCTTTTTTTGTCTGCAATACTTAGAGAAAGAATAGAGCTGAGGAACTCTAAACAAGTTTTTCTTGGTGGCTGCTGTTTTAGTGTGAAACTCTTCCTTCCTACTTCCCTTTATCTTTAATTTTTCTTCTTTTTTTTAACCTTACTCAGGTAAAAAGTCAGCCTAGGGGTAAAAGGATGTGGGCCTTACATAGATTCTAGGCAAGGAGCACTAATCTTTCATAGGTGTTTTCTGGGTTGAACAAAAGGTAATAGATCTGCAGCAGGTCAGTCACTAAACTCATAATCCTCTTCTTCATCATGTGCGGTTTTTTTTTTTTTTTTGTCTTCCAGGAGAGAAAACTTATTACACAGTTATCAGTTAATACCTCAATGAATACCTTAACAGAAATCAGTTGATAGTCAGTTAACTGCTGTTTGAGGTCAAGGGTCACCAGAAAAGAGTTGGGAAAAAAACAAAGAAACTTTGTGTATTAATTGGTTCTGCTGTTGTGTAACAGTTGTAAAAGTTTGTGTAAATGATAGGACTGGTAGCTGATTCCATAACCACCATGGACTCAGATTCCTTCTATCTTGTCAATCTGCCATCCTTAACAAGTAGCTTCCGTTTTGTGGACCAAGACTCTTATGTCGGCATTCCTATTAGTGGAAAGAAGGAAAGGAACAAAGGGAGGGCATACTGCTTTCCCTTAGTCTGGACACTGTACACACTGCTTTTGTGCATATCACATTACCAGAACTTAGTCACATGATTATATCAAGATAAGAGAAAGTCTGAGAAATATGCCTAGCCAAAATTCGACTACTGTGGCACAAGGGTACAATAGTTATTTGGGGACAACTAACACTCTGCTATAGTTTACTTCTCTGGTATCTGAAATACCCATGTTCACCATTCTTCCCATACATAAAACACCCTTACTCATCCTAATGGAGACAGACTCCAAGTGTCATCTAAACATTGGATCCAGCTAAGAGTCTAGGATCTCTAGGTGATGTGCAGTCTTCCATAAGGTCCAAATGGGTCTTGGACCATGCCCTTCATGGCATGGTACCTAAAAACTGAAAGGCAAGTTAATCTGCATTTCCCACTTCCGTCACCATGCACACATCATTATACATTGCCAGAGTAGAAATAAGATAAAAATAATAAAAATTTCTGTTTAGAGAAGACAAAAATAGGAAACTAGATGAGTTTTTGGTCTATAGCAGTGGTAAAATCTTACTAGGCAGAAACTGTGAGGATGGTGAAGGCAATGGAATAAGTTTCTGTTTAGGCCATCTAGCAATCTGGTTCTGTCCTCTGGGAGAAACCCCCCTTGCTCAGTGACCCCTGGCTTTGCCCTCTAGTAGATTTTCCTTGTATCTTTTCTTTGAAGGCCATCACTGAAGTAGATTTTGAAGATTGTGTTCTTCTTCGTGGCCTCATAGCATTTGTAGCCTGCTTCATGCTGGTGTAGTCTAGAAGTCTAGACATGTCCATACTTCTTTTAGAAGTATGACAGTTTCTTTAAATGTAAAACAATCAGGCTTTTATTGGGAAAGAATTGGTACCGATATTTTTGTTTTTGTTTTAATTTTTTTATTGGAATAATTTTGGATTTACAGAGAATTTGCAAAGATAATATAGAATGTTCCTGTGTGCCCCTCACCCAGTGTTCCTTAACATTAATGTCAAAGTTGTTTTTTAACAAAACTGCTTCTAGTTACCTCTTACAATTGCCTCAGTTTGAGAAGCAGTTGGATTTTTTTTTATCCCATGCAATCTCAAATTACTAGGCAGTTTTGATTCCAGGCCATTGGTGTAGAGTACGCCACGGGCTCGGCCCCAGTTGCCTTATTTTAAATCTCATCCAGAACAATAGGAAATGTAGGGTTTTTTTTTTTTTTAGCATTCTGGTTTTTATATAACAGGGAGGTTCACTGAAGGTTGTAGTGGACTGTTGCATGCCGGTTTATCATATTCACCACACTTTTGGGAAGTCTTAGTTATTCCACCTAGAATTCTAAGTGGAATTCTGATGAGACCTAAGTTACTGATCCTTGTTCTGAGCTAATATTTTTTACACTATCACATTTAGATTTTTTAAGATTGTGCTCCATAGTGGAAGTGACTTATAAGGAAGTGCTCATAAGGGAAATGAATAACAGACTGGGGGAAGCAGGCCAGGGAAGGGGAGGAAACCAAGCAAAGATGTGATCTCAGGTAAAAAGTCCCACAGAGAGTAGGCTTCATCTTAATTCACCAGGGGAACTCTGGGGTTGTTCCAACTTGAGACAAGGAAGCTGGGCTTTCATGTTCCCATGCTGGATAGTCTTTGGTTACTAGCTACCCTGGGGGAGGGGGGGTTTGACTCTTTCCAGGTGGGCAAAATGTTTTTAGTAGCTCAAATGCAGCACTCTGAAGAACTGCAAGTGCCAACTATTGAAACACTGAAAACACACAGTCTGGGGGTGTGAAAAGGATAAAAAGGGATCTGAGGGTCTCTAATGGAACATTACCTTTGGCTGCTACAGGATATGGTACCACAGTCTGTCCCCCTGCTTGTACCATTTAGATCCACTCATGTCTAATATTAAGTTCATTCCATCTTGTCACAGACTCTTCACACTGATGCTTTCTAATTTCTGGGGGGAGAATCTTAGAAAAGGAGGCTTAGTGGGATGACCTGTGGTGTGTTGCTGCAGACGGTCATGAGACTATAACTAATATTGTCATCTCCTTCTACCATCCATTTTAGATTCCCTGCATTCTCTACTAACACTTCTGCTGGCCTTGATGGTTTGCCTGGTGGCATGACTGAGGTATTCATCTGTGAAGGATGTGAGCCACTGGTTACCATATGCTTGTCAGGCTGTGATTGCTATAATTGCCCATTGCAATTACATGAGAACCACGCTACCACAGAGCAGAAGAGCTCTAGGAAGTGCCCTAGTGAATCCCCTTTCCAAATATATTTCTTCCTGTCCTCATTATATAGCAGCAACCCTTTCTCCTTAGGATAATCAAAGTCACTTACCCCTGCCAGTATGGTAACTCCTTTCTTTGCTTGTTGACCTGCCAGCATGAGGAGCCCCAAATGACTAGGGAGCAGACATAATTTTAAGTTTAATTGCTCTCTTATTGTGCTTCCTGGAGAAAAAGTTCCCCCTCTGGGAACCAGGACCACAAAAATCTAAATTGGGGAAACAGAAAGTATAAATTCTCCAAGTGAGTTGAGTGGGGCCACTCCTTGGCTTTCAGACCCGTATTCTCTCAAAAAGTAATGGTTTGTTGATTTAAGATATATATAAATGTAAGAGTTTGTTGATTTAAGGGCATCCCATTTCTAATGAGATCATCACTGAGCTGTACTTTTAAAGGCTATTGCAACGCTTTATCAGGCCAGCAGTTTTGGGGTAATACCTTATGTGGTAGGACCAGTGGTTCCTGTGGGCATATGCCCTTGTTGTACCTCCTTTTCTGCAAAGTTGGATTCCTTGTACCAAGATAGTATTATGTGAGTTCTCATATTAGTAGATGAGATACTATCTTGGATAGCAGTGGTAGCACTGTGGGCAGGAAACGCAAATGTATACCCAGAATATGTGTCAATCTCGGTCAACATTAATTGCTGTCTTCTCTAGGGTGGAAGGAATCTTATATAATCAATTTGCTACCAAATGACCAATTGGTTTCCTCAAGGGATAGTACTGGATCAAGGGCTCAGTCTTAATTTCTGCTGCTGACCAGTTAGACATTCAGCAGTAGCAGTAGCTAAACCATGGTGAAGAGGAGCACATACTATACCTTCTATCTCTGCCACCATGGCTGTTTTATTCATGGGCCCTTTGTGGAATAATTGGAATGGCTAAGGACAGATATTGGCTGACATCTACTGGACAAATTAGTCTGCTGATTGTTTAGTATCTCAGTGCAGAGTTCTCTGGTGAGCATTAACATGTGAAACAGATCTTCACCTTTTGTACATACTTTCTTTTTTCTTTTTTCTTTTGGCAGCTGGCCAGTACGGGGATCTGAACCCTTGACCTTGGTGTTATATGTACATACTTTCATAAATCTATCCATATGCTGCTTCCATTAATCTTTTCTCCCTGATCTTCTAGGCTTGCTCTTTCAGGCCCCTAACCATCCATCCAAACCATTTGCCACCACCCAGGAGTCCATTACTCACTTCTCTCTCCACACAAAGTGGATGATGAGGTGTAGCTCTAAAAAGTCCCTCACCAGTGTCTTTCAAGGCAGTCCCTTAGTGGGGCTATAGTGCAATAGTAGTTCATTTTCAGATTGCACCAATGTATTGAAATAACCCATCCATGAATTAGGCCCAGGTTTATTCTTCTTCTTTCAACTTTTATAAGGAAATGCTGTAAGGCCTGTTCTTATTACCTTTTTCTACTTACATGGACCTGTATACCTGCTTCCATTTTATGGTGGATTGCTTCAGTGTCCTCCTGATCTTAAGACTTCATGGGTGTAGTAGCTCCCAGCTCGTGAAGATTAGCTCTGATTGTATAGTCCCTTGAGGACCAACAGTCAGATGCTCGATCTCTTCCGGGGCCTAGTAATATACCAAGAGTAGTATGCTGTACTTTACAGATGATGTATAATTTTCTGCTACAGATAACATGGTCTTGCTCTAGAACCTAAGGTTCTGGACTGCAACTCTCCTGTGGGTAAATGACTCTACATGGTGTCTTTGTCCTTAAATTGGTAATTGGCTCAACTGAGCCTGTCATCTTCTCTTTTGAGCCGATCAGTACTTATACTAAAATCCAACAAATTCTCTAGTCTTTATGATTATTATTTACCCCATATCACTTGTATCATTACCTATTACTATATAACAAACCACTGTAAAATTTAGTGGCTTAAAATTGTAACTATTTATTATTGCTTATGAGTTTGTGGTCACCTGGGTGGTTCTGCTTACCTGGGCCCAGCTTGGCTGACTATGACTGGATTCTCTCATTTTCTCATGCATCTGTGATTGGTAGGTGGGTTGGCTAGGATTTGGCCAGTATAAGGTGGCCTCACTCATATGACTGGCCATTGGCTGGCTGTCATTTGGGTTGATGAAGGTAATTGGGCCATGTATATTTTACCATCTAGCTGGCTAGCCTGGAATTATTCACATAGCAGTGGCAGGGTTCTAAGAGAGTGAGTGGAAATTTGTAAGACATCTTTAGGCTTAGGATCAGAACTCATACGCTGTTACTTCTGTCACATTCTTTTGGGAAAAGGAAATCACAGGGCCAGCCCCACAAAGGGATGGAGAAATAGACTGTACTTCATTTGGATACAGGGAGGGCAGTAATTTGGGACATTTCAAAAACTATATCAAGGTACAATTTACTTACCATAAACTATTCTAAATGCAAAATTCAATGATTTTTAGTAAATTCATTAAGTTGTATTGTATCAGCATAATCTAGTTTAAGAGCATTTCCAGCACCCCTGTAAGATTGTTCTACCACATTTCTGAAATGCTAGAGATACTGCACAAGCCATATCCTCTTCTACTTTATCCCATCCTAGTTTACCATAGGTGAAAATTTTATTAATTGTGACAGTATAGGATACCAGAGGTATTACCACAGCAATGGAGTTTCTGTTCCCATTGTCAAGCAAGTAGTTTAATTCCAGAATCCCATCCTTAGAGTGTGTTTCCTAGTCCTATTTCTAGTACCAACTGTTGTAAATCAGGTTCGCCAGAAGCAGACTCTGAAATGGAGATTAGTGTGCAAGGAAATTATTAAGGAAGTACTCTGAGGGGAGACCGAGAAGGGAGTAAGGAAAGCAAGACAGTGAAGAGCAAGAAACAAAGCATGGATGTGATCTCAGAAAAAAGTCACCCAGAGGTTAGGCTTCATCCTTATCCTAGGGAAGAAATCTGTTTTGTAGGTTCCATAAAGTTGTTCTAATCTAAGACAAGGGAGCTGGGCTTCTATACTTTAGCACCCAGCCTTACTTGTTACTCTAAGATTACAGGCAAAGTATCTTTAGTAGCTTCAGATCAGTCCTGTGAAGAGGAGCGCTAGGTATTGATTGTCGAAAACACACTTAAGTTGGTGTGAGAGTGTGGAGAAGAGAACAGAAAAATGGGGTCAGAGGAAATCTGGGTGGAGCATCTATGTTGTCTGCTACAGGCTTAATTCATGATGGTTCCCCTAAATTAGCACTTTGAATCAAAGCATGAACATTAGCTACTTTCTATATAGGTTCAGGTATTTGGGAATAGTAGAGGGGGGAAATGGGACTTGTCTAAGAAATTTTAACCATGTGTTCATGAACTTAAAATATTTTAATCACTATAAATTGAAATGACGATATTTAGTAAATAGTATTTCAAATTATATAGAATATAAAAATATTATAATTTTTAAACCTCTAAAGTACCAAGCTGGAACAGTTTACTTCTATTTACTTCTTAATTGATTCTTTTGGTCTTAGTAGCTAAATCATTTCATCTGGTCTTGCTTTTGGCCAAGAAAATCTATATAATCTTGCTGTCTCTGATTTGACTTTTATATATTGAAAATACTCCTTTACTTTTACTTAATTACCCAAATCATGGATTGAACTGGCTCTTAATAATGAAAGGTTATTTTCATAATTCTTATTTGCTTGAGTCACCGACCTCTTTGAGTCTCGATAACCTTATAGCCTAACTTTGAAACATATCAATGAATTTGGCACTTGAAATGTAAAGATTTTTAATGACAGCTATTTTAAATTAAGAACAATATCTTTATACACTTATACTATATTGATTTAAAATTATTAACTATAGGAACAACAAGGCTATGACAGATCCCTCAAGAAAGTATTTAACCAGCAGTAGAGAAAAGCAGCTGACTCTGAAACAGTCAGAAGAGAATCGGACATCAGGTAAGTGGTTTATATAAGATACTCATTTATTACATGATATATTGTATTAGACTAGAAATAAAAACCTAAACCAGATATATATCTCTACATTGTTCAGAAATACTGCATAATCTGGTACTGGTTGTTGGGATCAACTTGTACCTAATATTGGCTAAAATATTTTAAAGTATTGGAAATATCAAGGAACTTGTATTCAGCTTATAAAGAATTCAGTCTTTACCTTTTTCCACTATTTGACTGCTTAGAATTAAGCCATTTCATTGGCAAAGTACCGTGACCATAGAATGAATCAGAGGAGTTAAAGTGGTTGAAATTAAGGTTCATCAGTGTTGCTACTTATTAGAAGATTCAGAAGATCTTGAAATTATTGCTTAAAGCAGTTCTTTAAGCTTACCTTGCACCCTGTTTTTTTAAAAAAGAAAAGTTAGGCTGCCCATGGATTTTTGTCAGGTGTTTTCTACACTTATGTATCTGTCTGATCTCTGAAATCCTTAGAGACTCAGATATTTGGTATTGATTTGAATATTATATCAACTTAAAAATAAATTGAAGCAAGCTAAAATATGGCGTGGCTTTTGATAAATTGATAGTTTAAGATAATCTTAAGTTGATTGGGACTCTAGGAATGTTCTCGTAGTGGTTTGGGATTGTGACATTGCCTCTTACAGAAAGAAGCATTTAATGTAGGTTTTACTTCTGAAATAATAATATTTACAAGATGTAAAGTCTACTTGCTAATTTTCAGCTTTTATAGTCAACCTGTAGTTAGGAAGTGAAAAACTTAAAGATGTAATAAGCCTTAATGTTGAAGTTAAGACACATCTTAGAAATGATGTGGAAGAGAGGAGGAGAGAGAAGGAAGTGGGTGGTCAAGTGATAAGAAGATTCATGGAAAAAAATGTAGAAGTTTTAACTGTGTTAATATTACACAGTTAATCAGTAGAACTGAAGAAACACAACTTATTGGTTGGAGACAGGAGAACAAGAGTAGGGGTGTTGTAAATGAAGAAGTTCAAATTTTCTACAATAAGAAGTCAACTGATACTGTTTAAAATGAATAAATCAAAAAAATGGTAGAAATGTATTATTTAGTACTGTGGAGGAAATCAGGAAAACTAACGTTTTAGGGGCTGGCTGGTTAGCTCACTTGGTTAGAGCTTGGTGCTGATAATACCAACAAAAAACCCTAACTTAAAAATAAAATGGTTAAAAATTAGGATGAAAATTTGTGGAGATTTGGGGTAGTGGAATATTGCTTTGCTAGTATAACTTTTTCCACAGTATTTGATCTTTTAACATGCATTTATATTACCTTGATTGAAAGAAAAGGGGCTTTTAAAAATAAATAAATAATAAGGAAAAAGAAAAGGGGAAAAAAAAGAGTTAAATATAAGTAAGCCCAATGTGTAATTTTATTATTAAATAAAGAATGGTTGATTTAGGAATTAAATTTTTTTCTTTGTTCATTTGTTTTATAGGGCTTTTACCTTTACAGTCATCATCCTTTTATGGTAGCAGAGTTGGATCCAAGGACTACTCTTCTGGTGGCACTAACCTAGATAGGTATGCATTGATTATATGTCCTGTGAAAAACTTGAAGAGCTCTCTGTTTTTATCAGAATATTGAATGATGGCTTATGTTCTAAGTAAATATGCTAATTTTAAAATAACAAAATTGATGAAAATCATAGAATAATAACATTTTAGTTAGAAATAACTCTAGAAATGTTTTAGTTCAAACTCTTAAATTTTTTCAACATATGAATAAACCGAGGTCTAGGAAGATGTGTACTGAAGCCACAGGTTGACTGGCAGTATTATCAGATTCTGTAGACCAGTATATTCTCCATTGTCACACCATGGTTTTTTATATGAAACTTAAGTGAAGTTGGGTATCTAGAATAGCTTCAGCACTAGTAAACTAGGGCAAAATACTTCTATATAACCTCCTGGGGTTGGAACCATAAATATGCTGCTTGCCTGATGCTCCCTGAGGAGAGAGCAAAGGCACGAAAGTGGAACTTGCAATGTTTGGCATCTGCTTTAGTGTTATTGACGTAGGGGCAAGAATTATGAACCCCTAACAAAATCTTACGCAGAGTAGAGGGCCAGGCAAAAGCAACTACTAAGCACGTATCAGGAAGATATGATCATGAAATGTAGCACATAGAGAAGATGGTAAATGTAAATGCAATTAAGAGGCTTATGTTGGCCTTCTGGTCTACCCTCCATGTGTTAAGAATATTCTGGAAGAAAAGACTAAGAAGAGTAAAGGCATGGAAATTGCCAAAGAAATAATGGATAAAAATGATGAATGTCCTCACTTTGAAAAGCTTCAACAAATGTCAAACTACAACTTTTTTTGAAAAAAATTCACATTGTAGAAGATGATGGGTAAGGAAAATTTTAAAAACTACTAGAAAGAAAATATATCCATTATAAAAGAGAAACAGTGAGATTGATATCAGCAATGATAGGAATACAAGACAGATATTATTAACAGAGTAATAACATCAAAAAATTCTATATCCAACTAAACTGTAATTCAAGAATATAGACAGAGAATGCTATTTTTAGATATGCAAAGAGAGAAAGAATTTATTCAGCAAGAAGAAAACTGAACAAAGGAAGGAGTGGGAAGTAAGAAAAATTAGTGACCAAAGAAATGTTAAAATCATATTTAGAAATCTAAATACTTAAAAAAAATTTTTTTTTTGAGTAGCTAATACATACATGTGGTAGAAAATATCTAGTTTTCACTTTTCCTTTTCAGAGGCAATCACTATTATTAATAGGCAATCACTATTACTTATATCTTGCCAGGGTTATTCTATGTATGTAAATACATTTTGATAGTTCTTATAAAATGGGGATGTTGTAGATTTAATTAAAAGCAAAGAATTAATAAAATATTAGACGAAAAGAAATACAGGAGAGGGAAAGAATACAGAGAAATTAAAACATTTAAGTTCCTTTTTTTGTTTGCAAGGACGCTATAGTTAAGTTAAATAGACACATTAAAAAGTTAAAGATGACTTCCACTTCTGGCCAAGACAGAGTAACTGGGACTGGATTTACCCTCCATCTTGAAACAGCTAAGAACCTGTATAAAATATATGAAACAATGTCTCTCAAGACATTGGACATCAGGTGGTGAAGGACAATGATCCCTGAGAGAGAGAAAACAAGTGAAACAAGCCCAGTGACTGTGTAATTAGAGTCCCCAAAGGAGAGGAGACAAAAAGTGGGACAGAAAAAATGTTTGAAGAAGCAATGGCTAAAACGTTTTCAAGTGTGATGAGTACTATAAAACCACAAATGGAAGAATCTTACTGAAACATAAAAAAATACTACAGCATGTACATCATAATGAAAGTGCTTAAAACCAGCGATAAGGAGAAAATCTTAAAAATGCTAGAGGAAAAAAGACATATTAAGTACAAGGGAACAAAAATTAAGATGGAGATACCTCATTGGAGGCAATGCAGGATAGTAGAGTGGAACAACATCTATAAACGGGGGATGAGGGGGAAGACCTACCAACTTAGAATTCTTGACCCAGCTATGGGAGGCAGAATTTTAAGATGGCCCCCTTGGACTTTGCCATCTGTGGTGTTATTTCTGTGATTATGTTATATTAATCAAATAACCCCTGTGGTGTTATTTCTGTGATTATGTTATATTAGTCAAAAAGGAGATTATCTGATTGGGCTCAGTCTAATCATGTGAGCCCTTTAAAAGCAGAATTGTCTCTGATGGTCACAGAAGAATTCAGAGAGATTTGAAGTATGAGAAAGACTCAGTGCACCATTACTGGCTTTGACAATGGAGGGAACCACCTGCTAAGGAATGCAGGTGACCTCTAGAAAGAGCTGCCTTTGGCTGACAGCCAACAAAGAAACCAGAACTCAGTTCTCCAACCAAAAGGAACTGAACTCTGCCAACAGCTTGAATGAGGTTGAAAGTGAATTCTTTCCCGGAGTCTCCAGATAAGAGCCCAGCCCATTTGACACCTTGATTTCAGCCTCGTGGAACCCTAAGCAGAGATTACATCTGAGCTTGTCTGGACTTCTCACCTACAGCTGTAGTGGCTTATAACACCCATTTCTTACCTTTTTCTGAGATAAGAAACAGGTGTAATAAGCCACTAAGTTTCTAGTAATTTGTTATACAGCAGTAGAAAACTAATATGGATTTTGGTACCTGGAAGTTGGGTACAGCTATAACAAATACCTAGAAATGTGGGACTAGCTTTGGCACTGAGTAGTAACTAGAGGCTGGAAAAAGTTTGAGGATAATTTTGAAGGGCATGATAAAGAAAGCCTAAATTGCCATGAACAGAATGTTAGTAGAAATGTGGATATTGAGAACACTGCCAGTGAATGCTCAGAAGAAAGTGAAGAATGTTTTGTTGTAAATTGGAGGAAGGGGATCCTTGTTATTTAGTGGCAGAAAATTTAGCAGAATTATCTCCTATGACAAGAAGATGACATTAGATTTCTTTTGTGGAAACAATACATGTTAGTAGATAATGAAAATATCCAGTAAAAACACGTTTCAAAACCGAAGGTGAAATAGACTTTTTCTGTCATAGAAAAGCTCTAAGAATTTATCACAAGACCTGTACTATAAAAAATGTTAAAGGAAGTTTTTTAAACAGGAAAATGATACCAGGTAGAAACTTTTAACTACACAGAGAAATAAAGAACACCAGAAATGGTAACATGGGTAAATATGAAGATGTTTTTTCTAATTATTTAAAAATCTTTAAAAGATAACTGACTGCCTACAGTTAAAATAATAAGAATATAGAAGAAAAATGTGTGATGAAAATGACATAAAAGCTGGGAGGGGAAGAGTGAAGGTATACTCTTGTCAGATTTTTCTGCTGAAATCCTAAAAGCAATCGTTAACATAAGTTTTAGCTAATAAGACAGAAAATAAATAAAATTAAATCATAAAAAAATACTCCAAAATGGGGCCGGCCCGGTGGCGCACTCGGTAGAGTGCGGCGCTTGGGAGTGTGGTGGTGCTCCCGCCGAGGGTTCGGATCCCATATAGAGACCGGTCTGCTCACTGGTTGAGCGTGGTGCGGGCGCGACACCGAGGGTTGCGATCCCGTTGCCAATCGCGGTACGGGCGCGACACCGAGGGTTGCGATCCTGTTACTGGTCACGGAAAAAGAGACAAAAAGGAAAAAAAGAAAAAAAAAATACTCCAAAAGAAGGCAGAAAGAAGAAAAAGGGAAAAAAGAACAGATAGGACAACCAAGATGATAGATTTCATGTCAGTAATCACATTAAATGTTTTAAAGACCCCCGTTAAAAGATATAGATTAATGAAACATAAAAAAATACAAAAATTGGGATAGAAATGACATAATTATCAGCTCCCTCCAAAAAACCTGCTTAAAATATAAAGACATAAATAGATTAAAAGGACAGACTATTCAATGGTGTGAGTAAAAATAGTCTCTTCAACAAATGGTGCTGGGAAACTGGATATGTATATACATAAGAATAAAGTTAGACCCCCTTCCTCATACTGTATATAAAAATTAACTCAAAATGGATCAATGATTTAAATATAAGAGCTAAAATAATAAAACTCTTAGAAGAAAACTTGACCATGGAATTGGCAGTGGGTTCTTAGATATGATGTAATGTACAAACAACAAAAGAAAAAAATGGTAAATTAGACTTCAAAACTTAAAACTTTCATGTATCAAAGGGCATTGTTAAGAAGGTGGAAAAGACAATCTACAGAAAAAATATTTGTAAGTCATATTTGATAAAGTTCTAGTATTCCAAATACATTAAAAAAGACTGGTAACCCAATTTAAAAATGGGCAAAGGGAGCTAGCTGGTTACCTCATTCAGTATAGTGTGGTGCTTATAACACCAAGGTCAAGGGTTTGGATCCCCATACCTGCCAGCCACCAAAAATAAATAAATAAATATTAGGGCAAAAGATTGGAGTAGATATTTCTCCACAGAGATATATATAAATGGCCAACAGGCACATGAAGAGATGCTTTAGTCATTAAGGGAATGCAAATCAAACCCACAGTAAGATGCCACTTTATATCCACCAGAATGGCTATAATTTAAAATAAAGGAAAATGACAAGTATTGACAAGGAAGTAGAGAAATTGGAACCCTCGTACATTGCTGGTGGGAATGTAATGTGGTTCAGACACCTTGTAAAACAGTTTGGCAGTTTCTCACAAAGTTAAACATAGAATTAACATATGACCCAGCAATTCCATTTCTATATATACTTGTATATCCAAAAGAATTGAATACAGATATTCAAATAAATACCTATACATAGATGTTATTAGCATTATTATTCACAATAGCCAAAAAATAGAAACAACACAGATGTTCATCAACAGATGAATGGATAAACAAATTATGTTCTATACATACAGAGGAATATTATTTAGCCATAAAGAGGAACAAGGTACTGATACATACTACAATGTGGTATAACTTGATGTAGTATATACATACTGTAATGTGATACAACTTGGAAACATGTTGAGTGGAAGAATCCAGTCA